TGCAATAGGTACAGACTGTGTGGGCATGCATAATGGTTTGAGCAATACATACCACAGCCATGACATTTCTGTTGGAGGTGAGGTGGCACTGGTAGTCGTGGACGCCGTGGATACTGCTGCTGAGGTTGTGGTTACTAACGCTTTCGGAAGTCAGGTAGTGACAGCTGTGTGGGCATGTTCTTTGTGGGCGGACATCGGTGGTGGTGGCTGGTTGGGAGGTGGCAGTTGTTGCCGCTGTTGTTGTGGAGGATGTCTTCGTCTCAGCACTGGAGGTCTGTTGCTATGGAAGTCTTGTCCAGTAGCGACAGAGGCAGCCTGCAGGGTTGAGGGCGTCGCCTTGGTTATAAAGGTGGCGACCACGTTTCTGAGCTGGTCCACCTGCTTCAATATTAACATCAGCTGAATTAGCTGTCAAGGACTCATAGCACTCTGAACTCTCGTAATATAGCTACTGTCGGTCTCGTCTTCACACGCGGTATACTTGTGTTGGGTTGACAGGTGATGCTGTTGACGTAGTTGCAGGTGTCGTGTAAGTTGTTGTAGTTGTGGGGACGACACCCAGAGACACGAAGGCAGGCGATGATTGTGACTGATGGACCGAATCAGGACAGAGCAGACTGGTCAACAATGACCTTGGCTCTTTGCCCTTCAGCTTCTGTCTGTAGTTACTGGGTGTTGCGGCGGTCATCTAGTATTTCGTCCACCATTTATAATATCGCATTGACCTTTAATAACCTTTTAAGATTATGGCTGTTTGGTCTAGGATAATTATGACACCTAGAATTTGTTGTCGGAGAACTAGCTTGGGACGACACACCTTACAATAACCAAGAAAAGCATCTATTAGTGGCCAGTCTTTATTCGGTGTATCTCATCAGTGTTCACATTTCATAATGAAACATCAGCAAAATTACAACCTTGGAAATTGATATTTTCTGAGAATCGTGAATTAGGAACACATAAAACTTACTGTCAGTGTAATATACAATAAACAATTGCAGAGATTACAAAGAAGCGAAGACACTTATTATTGTGTGGGAGAAAATTACACAGGATGTAGCGCAACTGAGAAAAATGAATTGAAAATAATGAGATAACTCTTCAGTAAGACACGTACAGCATATGTTGTCAAATACTAAGATAATCTTACATTATCTTTCATATTAATGAAGAAAGTACAACATATAACCTAGCTGAATACAACTTAAAACGAATATCAAGAATACACATATTTTACTATATATGTTGCCAATTGTTGAATAATGTTACAGTACCTTTGATATCTTTGAAGAAAGTGACTGGTAGGCTTCACTTTAATCTCCATACAACCTAGCAGAATACGACTTTAACTGACAAGTACAAGTAAAGATGCACAAATTGTGATATAAAACATAAGTTAAGACCATACAATGATTGAAGTGACTTACCTAACATAACCAAGAGAAGCATCCATTAGTGGCTGGTCTTAATTCGGTGTTTCTCATAAGTGAAATACCCCGAATGAAGGCCGTCATTTATACCACCGCTCGTGATACGGTCGCACGTTCAATGGTCTCGTCACAATACTTACAATGCTGCTAATCTACACTCCTGACTATGTAAATGTTGAGATTACCTCGCAGCTTTGAAAGACATGAGAATACAGAAATGGCTGAAATTATCTAATAATTTACTCGGAAAGCGTGTTATAATCGGGTAATATTTACATCTCTCTCCGGACATGTAGTCTTAACGATTAGAACATATAGCTTATCAAGTAAACTTGGCAATCAAGACGAGCGTATATCGACACTGGTGGTTATAGCCTTGTGACTGAACATGCATGTAGTCTTAACGCTTAACAGATAACACTTATTAGCTTAAAACTTGGACATGAACGTCAGAGTATATCAACACTAACTGAGACAATCTTTAAGGGTTCACATTGTTGCGTAATATTCACAAAATGTGTTGTTTTGTTCTATTTTGTAAAGTCACAATTATCTTATAAGATGAGGGTTGAGTGAATCGTGTATGGGGTTGCGGTCCGATACACAAGGAAATTAACCACTCACTGCCCACTGTCCAGGTCTTATAGATGACCTGTGGTTTGTCCTAGATGTAGTCATTCGCCCATAACGCTGTAAACATGACACAGTGATGTCCTAAACAGACGTCGACGTCACCGTCTTTGCATGCATCACTGAATACTGTTACTTGACATAAGACATGCGTCTTAATACAGGTAGAGTCTTCATCTAGCGGACGTAGGTTCAGGACCTGTAGAGTGGCTGGGATCACAGGTCAAAGTGTCACAAGTCCCGTGAGTCTACCAGTGTGCGAAAAAGTAACTGACCCGCTAGCCCGTGAAGCCCATTTCTGGTGTCCCATGTCGTGATATTGCTGGAATATTGCTAAAAGCTGCGTAAAACTAAACTCACTCACTCTACCACTCCGGTCGTTCCTTAATACCAATACAAGCATACAGTTTTAAAATGATACTTATTGACATAACCAGAATGGACATGGACACAACTTGTTTTCTTACCTCTACTATGATGTATGGCCGTGAAGCCTGGGCTATTGTGAAATGTTCTGAATTTGGAAGAATTCACTTAAAAAATTGCAGGCGTATTTTGCAGATCAATGCCAAATCATCTGCAGTCGCTGTATACGGCGAACTTGGGAGGTACCCTTTATATATAAATAGATATATCCGTGTGCTACGTTATTGGTTTAAGTTATTACACAGTGAAAACTGTATACAGTGGATTGTTTATGGTTTATGTTTAAATTGTCTAAATAATGGTTAAAAACCATGGTTACGTAGTGTTAAAATGTTTTTGCATGAACTTGGTTTTGGGATGTTTGGGAATTTCAAGTGGTAAATGTTGATAATTTTTGTAAAGTTGTAAAGTAACGTCTCTGCGAACATCTACTCATCGCCTTATGATAGAAATTGGTAGATACAGTAATATTCCAAGGGATGACCGTATTTGTGATTATTGCAATAGCCAGGGTAAAATCTTTGTTGAAGATGAGTATCATTTTATCTTGATTTGTCCTAAATATTTACAGTTTGGAAAGTTATATATTAAAAGCTTCTATTGGGTTAGACCAAGTGTTTATAAGTTTATTTCACTGCTTAGATATTCCAATAAATCTGCCTTGCGAAACTTAATTCATTCATTAATTTAATTCTCTAATGATGTAAGAACTCAAACACAATACATTGTCCAGCCTCCATAAATTGACTGTAAATATATCCTATGTCCTTTACAGGCCTGTACACCATGTGTTTATGGGACGATGAACACATTTGTTCAAGTCCAAAAATAAATTCGTTTCTTCTTCTTCCCACTTTCTAAATAGCGTTGTGTATTCACGTAAAGGTAGTTGTATGACTATGCGTGTACATAAGCTTAGTTTGCAATAAAAATAAATAAAGGAGGACTAACTATATTTCAACACTGAAATACCTGCATCCGCGTACCAGTTAAACATTTAGGGTACCCAGCGTTCTGAACAGAGGCATCAGGAATTCTGGAATACCAAAAGTAGCTGACACTGTCATTGAAAGTCCAGGATGACTTCTGTATGTCCTCACGTGGTCCAGTGGATGTAGTCGCTGCAGTTTGCTATGCTGAATTATGTCCCCTAGCTATGCCAGCATCTGCTGATCGAGGCACGATCTGACTATGTCCCGTAATTGCAATAATTGGCTATTTAGCGAAATTCGCACGAAGTCACCCAGTAGGGATTAGCGTTTCTCCAAGCTGGTGACTTCATAAACCGTATTTTCACAGGTGCAAATATCACCTGAATTAGAGGTGATCTCAAACTATTGGTGTTATTGTACGTTTTTGACGGACGGGGATATCACTTCATACGTTAAGTACGATATGTTTGCTTGGGAAAATGTTGGAATAAACGCTATAAAACGGGGTCAGTATTTCAAGGTTGGGTTTTTGAATCACGTTGTTCTGCACATGATTTCGTTTGTCATATCACACAGCTAAAGACGTAAATAAATTCAAATTTATGATTGATAATCGGTGTAACGAGTTCGATATCTACGTCATTATCATCACCTTATAGTTACCCAAGAAAAGCTCAATAGGGTTGAGCATTCATTTCTATAACCATATTTTTTGTAAATATATATATGTGTAAGGTGTGGGTGAGTACGGTTTTACGCCGCCTTTAACATTACTTCAACACCATAAGGACTGTATGGAATTCAATCATTGTCCTATACAGTGTCGTACTTTATAGGTTTCTTATTCCGATGATTTTTCACCATGAGTTCAACATAGTTTCAGATGGTCTGAAGTTACTGGCGATATCCGTCAGGACGACACGAGGGTCGTGTAGATTCGGGGATATCTCATGTTCTAACCTGTCTATGAAGATTCTATGATAATAATTAATTTTAAGCAGAAAACAGTAATTGTATTTTTAACTCCTATCGAATATTACTACAAATGGGGAGGACGTTGATAATTTATACATTGTAGCCTAATCACGCCCTTACCAAAGCTGTCCGGTATCCCTTTTGTTTTTCAGATGACCCCTACCTTCCTTTTTATATTTATCACACCAAGCACTTGGTCATATGAAAGGTAATTAATGTATTTCGTTTGTTAATCGATAGGTCAATAGAAAAACAGTCTTGAAACATTCTGTCTTACCTGAAGGGGAAAATGTGTTTTCTTGCATTTCCGAAGTCCTTTATTTGCATTCGCCTTTGGTTGGCATTCACAGAATACACTCTTTCTGTTCCAAACATGTAACCGTATTTGGTACCATTGATTTAGCAACACGATATGGAATGACTTTTCTTTTGGTTATGGGTGCGATATGAGGTTATTTCAAGGAAGTGTATTGTTTTCGCTCTTTGTAATCAGGCGGCTATGCATAATTTGTTTGGGTCATATCCGGTTAAACACAGTAGTATTTTCCGTCTTTTAGCCCGTTGACTAACTCTAACTGACACCGCGAGGTGGCGCAGTTTCATTATGACGGCAGGTGTTTCCCCAAGATATTTTTAACCGTATGGTTTTCACAGAGAGCGAAGTTTCTACAGCGTTGGGAATGTCAGCAGAACATATATAGAGGTAACAAACAAAAACAGGTATATTTCTAGACAAGTGAATTGTACGTGTGATCACTTACTTGTGAAAATCTAACGGAAATGTTTTGCGTTTCGCCAACATAGGTAAACAGCAGTAAACTTAAATTCGATGTCCATTTTTATTTTCATTTGGTTTACTTATGAAAGCCTGAAACATATTTAGCGGGACCTAACCAGCTAGAACCAAACTGGGGGAGTAGTGTTTGAAAACTTTCATAGCATCTGACAAGCAGTTATCTCGGCCCAGCCAAGCGGCTTGATCAGTAGGCAAAGGGAGACGATAGGCTTCGGCCTTCACTGTCACCCGTCATGACCAGTTTCGGTCTGCAGAACATTGGATTGTACCGACTGACACGTCGTCCGCCCCATTGCCCTTGTTCAGTCAGCTGCTTGAAATATGGAAATAACATTTCACCGTGCTCTGTCATCTTCTTTGAAAAGTATCCTCGTATTATGGGTTTTTGGAAAAAACGTTTCTTTAGAAACGTTTGGTGTCACTAATCACGTGAAACATCTCACTAATTTTTAAAACACGACATTATCATGTTTATCAAAAAGCAAAAAACAAGCCGTCGTTTGAGTCTGTGTGACACAACATGCCTTGTTATAGCACACATAAACACTGCTTTCCAAAAACATGTAATCCAACAATGCTCAAATTTAGCTCACTAGACTAGACCATTTGTTGAGCTTAGTACTGTGATTTTATTCAGACTTTGAGTCAACTGACTGAACTGTTTTATCATGTGAGTGGTTAAGTATAAATATTAACCATCACACCTTTTGTAACATGTCTAATACAAACAAGATATTGCTTGTCTAAGACATGTGACCTATGGCAGAGAACATCTGCACGAGAAGTTGTGCTGTATTCTAAAGGTGCTCCTGAAATTGTTTAAGAATAAGGTTATAGGCTATGTAGGGGAGAGACTGAAACAACTTTGCCCTTTATATTATGTGTCAAGGAGTAATTCAAGTGTTTCATTTTTGAAAATATCCAAAAGAAATCCGTCCCAAAAATGTGTATAACATTAACAGGGAAAGTGATTGCCATTGGTGATGAGTCGAAGACTGTTGAATGTGTCTCATATATACGTATTTATCATTTCTTTGTATATTTGTCTATACTAGGTACTCAATGTACACACCCTGGTATACTTTGACAATAATCAAGATACTGTTGATAGATTTTGAATAAAGGGATCTTTGTTTTCTCTGACTCCCAGTATAGCATTGGTTTTAGTGTGCCATGTTCCAACTATTTGCATGACTGTGGTATCCACAGTGAGTGTGGACAATAATTAGTGGTCATGTCTGTACTTAACTGGTCCAAAATAACATTTGTAGATTTACTTAACTATCAATAGAAATTTCACTGGCCACTAGGACCACTGCAAACTTATCATTCAGTGGTCCTGATGAATTTTTACAAGCCAGGGACCACAGGACCAGCATAAATATTGCTCACTGCTGAGCCCCAATGATGTCATAATGAATCATTCTGATTTGTTCAGTTACTATTCTGGTGAGCAGTACAGACTAGGGATGCAACCGCCAACAAATCCAGAGTAAGGTGAATATGATAGATATCATAAATATCGGGTAACAAGTACAAATATCAGGTAACAAAACGATAAGAAGTTGATAAGTTATAGTCCTTAGATATAAATTATAAGTATATAGCCTTTGACATGTCTTCACCATGTTGACAGTGATAATTTATCACAGAAATGACCAGATACCATGTACCACGTTGTTGTCAAAATATATATATAAGGTTGTTGACTGTTATCCTGCCTGGCTTGAATTTATTCCATATCTTGCTTTGACAAAACATGGTCAGTTTCAAGTGAAAACACTCCTTTTTCAAACATTTTTGAAAATATGATTCTTGAGGTCGTGAAATAACAAACTGAATTTATGGACGTGTGTGGTTCACCAAATACGTGAGTGAATCATAAGCCCCAGTACACACAGTTTATTTGAGTTTCACCTCATATGTAAATGTAATAGTAAACAGTAAGTTGTGTTAAGATTATATAAGAATCATGATCAAACATACCCATTCTGTAAGAGTTAAGGGGGACTTGTGTACATTATATATATATATATATATCTTCAGGGAGAACTTTGATGAAAAGTTTTCTTTAGCTTCGCTGCATGGCCAGCAGTATTCATTTTATAGAAAGGGAATATTTTAAATTTTATTTCCTTTCCTGCTGCGCATTGTCAATGTGAGCTTAGGGGATGCACCTTGTTTTGGGGTCCTTAACCTGTTGTTTATGGACGCCAAGATTCTGTCCCTCAAGCACCTCGCTTGTCCAATGTATTCTTCATGACACCCTTGGCATATAATAACATAAATAATATATGTTTTATGGAGCAGTCCATGTTAGAGCCGCATATGAAATAATTGTTTCCTGTTTTTGAACTTTATACATGAAGTTTCATGTGCAACAAGGTGCATCCCCTTAAGCCACCACATTGACAATTGGCGCGAGCAGGAAAGGAAATAAAATTTTAAAATATTCCCTTTCTATAAAATGAATACTGCTGACGCCATGCAGCGTAAAGCTAAAGAAAACTTTTTCATCAAAGAATTGTGTCCATCGTTAAATAGGTAACTTTATATATATATATATATATGAAATTTGAAAATAAGGAAAAAGTTAAAAAGTGATTATCTACAGATACCTAATCTCTTGAAAATATTAAAACAGTTTTTATTATTGGTAATTTGCTTAATATCTCAGGTCAATATCTGACCTCATACATAAATGTTGATAGTACTGGCTTGTTGCTCTAACTTCTGTGCAGTTGTTGTATGCAGGGTCCCAATTGTGTAAATCAATGTTTTGCTGTTGATCACTGGATTGTCTGGTCCAGATTCAATTATTGAATTTATTCTACAGACCACAGCAATATAGCTGGAATATTGCTGAGTACAGCTTTAAACAACAAACAAACATATACTGGATTTGATACAAATGCTTGCATCTCATCGTTATGCTGGAAACCTGTGATAATCCGTGTTAGAATTCAGCTTCCCATGCTTGTCCTAAGAGGCCACTAACGGGATTGAGGGAACTCACTGACTTGGTTGACACGTCCCTGTTGCATAGATCAATGTCCATGCTGTTGATCACTGGAATGCCTGGTCCAGACTCGATTATATATAGCTGGAATACTGCTGAGTGTAGTGTTAAACAAAGAACAACAAACAAACATTACTGCTGGAGTTCACATGGTTCAGACACGGAAATTGCATTCTCCTTAGGAAAAGGTCCATGAACAAAAGGATTGTCCACACAAATGTATTGTTTATTCATTGTACTGTTTCCGGACTTGTTCTAAGGTTTTAGTTGGTGAACATGAGAACTTTTCGCGAAAACATACCTAACCACAATTTACTTTGTGGAAAGGTTCTCGAGCATGTGTTTCGCCACGTGCGGGGTTCGAAGTGAAAATATAGTCAGTTCAATTTGATACGTTGAGTAGGCAGCACTCCTAGAGATTGTTAGGGGTGAAACCGTATACCGTGGTATTAGTAGAACCGCAGTATTTTGCCTTTGGTTGGTATGCCGTAATGCAATCCCAAAAATCGGTATTTTCCGTTTTTGTACCATCATTTCTATCCAATCGTAAAAAGTTTTATTAATTCAAAATAAGAAAGATTATGGTTATATATATATATTTTCCCATGTTATTAAACAATGTAAGCTTTGGCTCACAGGTGCTTGTAATGCTGAAAATGATACGTCCAAAGTCCAACACTCGTTCACTCATGTATTATTTTCAGCAACACAAGCCCCTGTGGTTTGGCTTTTGTTGTCATTTTTCTGCATTATGATCATATCTCATATAACGAACCGAAACAGACCGAACCAAAGGCCTTGTACCGCAATATGTACCGTACCGTGGTAAGAGTGTACCGTTTCACCCCTAGAGATTGTTAGCTAGTTTTACCCATTTGGATGTTAGATTTTGTAACGTAAGCTTAGTGAAATAGAAAGTTAGGAATTTAAGACATTGTAATTTAAATGTAAATGTAATCAAAGGTAGATTAAAACCAATATTAGATTGTGACTTAGTGGTTTTGTTTAATTCCATAGCCAGTCCATACAGGTCTCTTTCCATTAAGAATTAGAACAGGGCCATGTAGGGCTGGCGATCGTTATCACTTAAAGAAATCACTAATCGTTAACTAAATATCGATCAATTATTGATAAATATCAGAGAAGTAAATAGTCAAAAAGAACTCAGGATACTTTACAGAACTGGTGAGTGGGAATACATTTATTCATGGATTACCGGCGCGGTGGGGTTAGTAGTTAAAGCGGTCCCTCGTCCGGTAAGTAAGGCTGGTCACATGACTGTTTACACGTGAAAAGGGAGGTAATTTGTGGGTGAGTGTATTTTTACGTCCGCTTCTGGAACTTCAAGGGATTCAAGTGTTCCACAACCATTCGAAAGGGAAAGGGAGATAAGCAAAAGATCATGAGTCAGGATAAGTATAAAATATCAATTTTACTTGAAAATTACATATTTCTGGAATATTGCTAAAAGTGGCGTAAAACCCAACTCACTAACTCACTCACGGATTACCAACAAAAACAGTGCCATGAAGATACTTCACAGGCAGCCTTTGAATATATATAGACATAAAGTTGTCTATTATGTGTGTAAATATAACTATATTTCACCTAATTGTTTAAGAATAATATTATCAACGCCAATTTTCATATCGATAATCATTGCTATTCTTCCCATCAACAATATATTCAGTCATCAATCATTTTGGCCTGTCCTATGTAACAGTCACCATATGGATGTCAAATTGATAAATCACTAGAATAGGTGTGTTAAGTTAATAATAACCGACAGGTCGTCTAGCGTTCACGTTACGCCTCTGACTGATAACTATGTGTGTAGGGAAGGAATGGATTTAACTAGAAAGATCTGAGGTGACTGCCCTCCCAGACATCTGGTTGCTTGCAGCTTGTGTGTTAAGTGATAAAGTACCAGCTGTTCTGATAAAGAAAACTGTGTGATTAAAACCATCTTGTTCCTGTTGATCCATCTGCTGGATGTAAAGATATGAAGCATGTTACACCTGCCTTAGTTCCCACTGGTATAAGCAGGCACACACACTCATGTATGCCTATCACTGTGTAAGTGCAGTAATCTAACAATAGGACCACCACTGTCTTGTGTTTTCCAGCGTTATGGGTGATAAATACACCATGGACACAGTCTCGGGCTATACCTGATGTGTGGACAGTGGGCACTGAGAGGATATATCATGCTGACCAAGCCTAGTTACTCTGTCCCCGTTACATGATCAAGTCAATTCTATACTAGCTACCTGATGTATCAGGACAGTGTTTGTGTTGTAAATATTGCTACACTGGTTACTGACCATGGTCAAATAGTTCGTGCACTACTGGAAATATTTCACAATGAACTATGCTTAGAAAAGTATAGTGTTTTCTCTAAGAAATTCGGACACTTGACCTTGGTTAAGTCCGGGTATAGCTGACAAGGCATGACCTTCAAGGGACTGTGCAAACTTAAAGCAGATACCGACAGAGGCATTAATAGATGTTAGTGTTTATATCTCACAATGAATGGTTGTCCGATACTTTGTCTCCTGTACTTGAGTCTTGCTAAATCTACTCAAATAAAAGCCCCAAAGAACTATTCTCTTCATCATTTTTCTGGCACCTGTGTATCATTACAAATGCATGCAATATATTGTTGCATGTATTGCAACACATGAATCATTGTGACAATAAACTGTGACGTGAAAGCAAGATATCCAAGATATAGCAAGAGTGAGTGAGTGAGTGAGTATGGTTTTACACCGCTTTTAGCAATATTCCAGCCATATCATGACAGGGGACACCAGAAATGGGCTCCACACATTGTACCCATGTAGTCTTGTATTTAGAAGCTTAGATGCTGTCCTGGAATACATGTTTGGTGAACAATGGTAGATCATCATGATTATATGGGTCATTCTGTTTCAGTTCTTCTAGAAATGGAAGAAGACACAATACCAAAAGAAAACAACAATCTGCTGTTGGGTCATGTGACTCACGTCATCGACCCATCCAACTTCTGGATCCAGATTGGGACAAGTAAGTCATGCATTCTCCCTGAGATCATGTCAGGTGACTTTCATCCGTAGGTCCGTGAAACAGGTGTGCATTAATGTTCTGTGAGGGGGTTGTTTTTACAGGGTTACACTGTGTTTACAGAGGGGCTGTTTGAGGGCTTGAGTCAGCTAGAGGAGGAGGTGCAGGAGTTCTGTGAGGGGCTGTTATTTACTGTTGCCATGGTTACATTGTGTTTACAGAGGAGCTGTTTGAGGGCTTGAGTCAGCTGGAGGAGGAGGTGCAGGAGTTCTGTGAGAGGGGCTGTTATTTACTGTTGCCATGGTTACATTGTGCTTACAGAGGAGCTGTTTGAGGGCTTGAGTCAGCTGGAGGAGGAGGTGCAGGAGTTCTGTGAGGGGCTGTTATTTACTGTTGCCATGGTTACATTGTGTTTACAGAGGAGCTGTTTGAGGGCTTGAGTCAGCTGGAGGAGGTGCAGGAGTTCTGTGAGGGGCTGTTATTTACTGTTGCCATGGTTACATTGTGCTTACAGAGGAACTGATTGGGGCTTGAGTCAGCTGGAGGAGGAGGTGGTGCAGGAGTTCTGTGAGGGGCTGGTGTTATTTACTGTTGCCCTGGTTACATTGTGCTTACAGAGGAACTGATTGGGGGCTTGAGTCAGCTGGAGGAGGAGGTGGTGCAGGAGTTCTGTGAGGGGCTGGTGTTATTTACTGTTGCCATGGTTACATTGTGCTTACAGAGGAACTGATTGGGGGCTTGAGTCAGCTGGAGGAGGAGGTGCAGGAGTTCTGTGAGGGGCTGTTATTTACTGTTGCCATGGTTACATTGTGCTTACAGAGGAACTGATTGGGGGCTTGAGTCAGCTGGAGGAGGAGGTGGTGCAGGAGTTCTGTGAGGGGCTGGTGTTATTTACTGTTGCCATGGTTACATTGTGCTTACAGAGGAACTGATTGAGGGCTTGAGTCAGCTGGAGGAGGAGGTGGAGGAGTTCTGTGAGGGGCTGTTATCTACTGTTGCCATGGTTACATTGTGTTTACAGAGGAACTGTTTGAGGGCTTGAGTCAGCTGGAGGAGGAGTTCTGTGAGGGGCTGTTATTTACTGTTGCCATGGTTACATTGTGTTTACAGAGGAACTGTTTGAGGGCTTGAGTCAGCTGGAGGAGGAGGTGCAGGAATTCTGTGAGGGGGTGGGGACGGTGGACCCCGATGATGCCTGCTGGATGGAGGATGGCTGCTATGTTGTGGCCAAGTCCAGCCTCGGCAGCGACAGACCGTGGAGGAGAGCCCAGATAGCCAGACACAACATGTAAGTAGTGGACTAATTGTACACGGTATCGTTACAGTGACGGGAATGGTTTAGATAATTTTGATATTCTGTAAAAAATGTGCTACCATAGGATTATCATCAATTACACTTACTCCATATTGGTATATAACTGTGGGGGTATCATTATTTTAAAATGACCATCAGTGCCTGTTGAGGAAGAAGTTCTTGATGAAACCATCAAATCAGCTATTTTGGTCAAGGGTAACATCACGGCCTGTCCCAAAATCTTAGGTCTAGATGTGTCTCTCAGCATCAGTTTCAATAGAGTTTAGTGTTATGATATGGGCACTTGTGAGCTGAATACATGCATTACCATGGCTAGCTGCTAAAGTCTCAGACTGGCATCATGCAAGTGGTTTACGTCTATGTTCCAGTGAGAAGGGGTCTGTGGACGTGTTCTACCTGGACTATGGCACCACAGAGATTGTGTCATTGGATCAGATATGTGTAGCTGTTCCGGCGTTCTTTTTTGCTGTTGATCACCAGACATGGAAGTGTGGTCTCGCTGGAATCAGACCTGTAAGTTGACTGTGACTCCAATTGATAAAGCAAAATAAATTTGTGAAAATATTGAGACCAGTAGATTTTAAAGGATAAGCTATTTAATCATGTTAAAAGTCTCCCACCAAAATAGATTGATTACTCAGGGCTCCAGATAAGATGCGTATTCGTAAATTATGCATGATAACTCAGATATATGCATAAAAAGTCAAATCAATGCGCGGGAAACATACACATAACTTTCTCAGAATATGAGTCGGATTTTGTGAACAAAACCTGTCAAAATATTGTTTCAATCCTACACATCCGATCTTAAGATCTCGAATAGTGTTGGTTGTCTGTATTGAAGCGAAGGTTGTCGAGTTTTTCCGTTTAATCTCCGTTAGTATTACTATCACAATGTTTCCTGTCCGCATCAGTAATAATACGATTTTAGGGCTACTGTAGATTACATGATGGCCTTAAACCAGCGTAGGAAAACATTTAATGCACAATGGCTCAACACGACTCATTTATTTCCTGTCGTCTGCAGTAAGAATGACTAACCAAAAGAAGCTCGTCGAGTTTTTTGAAAGGAAAACTGTTTGAATTAGCAAGGAATTATGAAACCATGCAACATGTGAAATACTCCTTCTTTTATTTCCATTTGGTACTTTACTCCTCAATTTTGATTTTGAGGAGTGAAATACATCTGAGTCAAAATAATTATCTGGAGCCCTGTTACTTGTTAACATTGGAAAACAGATTTAGCTTATACCTATCTTTCATACATTGACATGTTCCGTTTGACTGACTAAGTTTGGACGTTTCCATCAAATTTGATGTAAATGTGCTTGATAATGATTGCCAATGTTCGTGATGCACGAAACAAATCGCCAAAACGCATTTTGTGGCCCCGACTCTCAGAAACACGAAACACATTTCTTAGTCGGATACATGGGAAAGATCGTGCGTAAAATCAGTATAAATGACCTGTCCAACACTGCAATATCACTGCACATAAAGTGACACAGAGAGAATGCCAAGGTTAACACAGGAAGAAAGAGAACAAGCAGTAGGGATAGTTGAATGGCTGACCCTCTTAGTTATTTCACGAAATGACTGAAATTTTTCATCATTTCACGAAATGACTGATTTTACAATCTGACTGTAACATATAGGCCAATTTCTTCCCAAATTGCCTGTCGAGATCACTTGATGTGCAGTCAAGGTCAGTTCATTCTTAGTCAACTGTTGTGTTGCTCTGTTCGCTGTAGTATGCGCAACATTTTGTTTGTTGACTTTGATCACCAAATGGTTATGTATGGTTGGTTTTGGATAGATTGCAAAGACTTGGACAACTCGTGGCGTGAAATGTTTCCAGAAGCTGGTTGAGGGCGAAGAGACTCTCCAGGTGTCCATTGTGTCTTATGGAGCTTCTTTCATGTGCCACAAGATAGCCCTATACACAGGGTAAGCTGTCTCCCTACAACCACAGAGCATTATCATCAACCAGTGCAACCACCACATTCAAATTTAGCCTTCTTATGATCAGATAAGATTTATAGGTGACCTGTAATCTTGTCGGGCGGTGGCTTAACCTGGTGGTTAAGGTGTTTGCTTGTCACGCGGAAGACTCGATTAGACTCGGGTTCGATTCCCCACATGGGCACAATATGTGAAGCCCGTTTCTGGTGTACCCCGCCGTGATATTGCTGGAATATTGCTAAAAGCAACGTATAACTAAACTCACCCACTCACTATAGTCTTGTCATAAGTCCCCATGGATTTGATGTTTGTTTACATGCTATATGGACCTGCCAATAATAACTGATCTGGAATGATATTATTTTGGAGACGAATATGATTTCTTTTTCTGACTGAGTCAGGTGGGTAATTTCATCTGGGAAGGAAATATGTTGAAAGGAAAATATCCAATGGCTACTGTGTAAAACACTATCTGTAAATGAGGTGATTATCATGATTATGAAACAAGGTGTGAGAGCATATGGCTGGTGCATGGATGCTATACTGTCTGTGTTACTGTTTCAGTGAGGGAGGAGATGGCCGCTCCCTGGCCCACCTGATGCTGGACGAGGAAGTGGGGATGGTGAGTAGAACCTTCTTGTGTAGCTTATTGTCTATTAGAGTGATGTTTCATGCACTTCATGAAGTATGATGGTACAGATGCTATGACAGATTTACTGTAGTCATGTAAAGGGTAGTCCTTAACTATTTCCACCTGTGAAGGTCCGGGTTAGATTTGGTCTTCAGCAACCCATACTTGTCACAAGATGCAACTAACAGTCATTGTATCCCAATTACGTAGGTCGATGCTCATGATTTTGATCACTGGATTGTCTCGTCCAGATTCGATTATTTACAAATGGCTGGAATATTAGTGAAAGTGGTGTTAACAGCAAACCAACCAACAACCAACATTAACTGTTTCATATTGGGGCGGTGGGGTAGCCTAGTGGTTAAAGCGTTAGCTGGTCAGCCGAAGAACCGGGTTCGAATCCCCACATGGGTACAATGTGTGAAGCCCATTTCTGGTGTCCCCCGCTGTGATGTTGCTGGAATATTTTGCTAAAAGCAGCGTAAAACCAAACTCAGTCAGTCAGTCAGTCATATTGTAAGAAGATAAATCTGTGGTAAAACTCAACTCACTCACTCACCGACCCACTGAAATGTGTCTTGTAGCCATGTAACCTTGACGATGTTGCTGAGTACGCCCATGCCGTGGTGCAAGTGTTCCCCCAATGTCCCGCGGAGGAGATACAGCAAGATAGTTCCGAGGACAGACATCGGGACGAGGTTGAAGGTAATTAGCTAGTGATGTCTTCGATCAGGTAGAACACCTTTGATTTATGAAAAACAGGATGATGACTTGTGAAGAGCATTGCCTCTAACAGGAACTCAGAACACTATGGATGTGGGTGTGAAGCCTGTTTTGTCCAGAATTTTTATGCAGCTTTGTCAGCACCATGGGTTTCACAAAAGTGGTAAACTATGTGAGACCCCCATAGCTTTGGGCTTTCCTCTCACCTCAAACTGACTGTGATGCTGTTCCACTCACTCACTACTCATCCATTACAGGAATGTTCGTAGGGGAAGTGGTTTGTACTTGTGAATGTAATGTGATACTGTTATGTGCATGTAGTGTTTCCTCAGAGGCCAACATTCAGCCCGAATCAGAAGTAAATGTCCTGTCCAATATTTCAGGTTAATAGAGTTGCAGGTTCTTGTGACTTTGTTTGGCATTATTGAAATGACTGCGATATTAGAACATCTCTGATTTAAAGAAAATGGGAAATGTTCATATTTTGGACAATAATTATTTTTCATAGTTTGCCAACCACTAAATAGGGAAGTAGTATAAACAGGTTCACATCTTAGAATGGTTCATTTTAAAACCCAATTAGACCAATAGGTGTAGAGATGCTTCTAATAATTGCTCTACTTTCATTTTCATTCAGATCTGCCGAGCTATGAATCTAGTCCTGCCTCACAGTCAAGTCATGATGAGCAGGCTGTGTCAGGAGATAGTTCTGGCAGAAGTGTGTGTGAGCCGTCCGAGGCCTTAACAGACCCAACGTCTCCCCAGTCTCCAGCAGTGACTATCCCTGGCTTCAACCTCAACACCATCTTTAAGACCAAGATGGCATCTGCGGACATCATCACGCAGAAGAAGGAGGACGAGAGGAAGAAGACTGTCACGTCCGAGATGGAGAAGGATCTGAAGATGGTGCAGCAGGATATGGAAGGAGCAACAGTGGAAACGGAGGAAGTGACAGAGTGGGGTGAGGACATTGGCTCAAGATGGAGGTCACTAAGTGGGGTCAGGGTCAAGGTGAAGGTCACTGAGTGGGGTGACAACGGGTTCAGAGTAGAGGTTACTGAGTTGGGTGAGGGTCAGAGTGTAGTCACTGAATGAATTGGGTGAGGGCCAGGAGGTTCAAAATGGAGGTCAAAGCAGGATGTAGAACATAGAGGTCACTTAGTGGGGTGAGGGCCAAGGTGGAGGTCACTGAGTGGCATGACTGATAACAGTTTTAGGGTAGAGGTCACTGAGTGGGGTGAGGGTCAGGGTGAAGGTAACTGAATGGGGTGAGGGACCTGGGGTTAGGGTGAAGGTCACTGAATGGGGTGAGAGACCTGGGATTAGGGTGAAGGTCACTGAATGGGGTGAGGGACCTGGGGTCAGGGTGAAGGTCACTGAATGAATGGGGTGAGGACCAGGAGGTTCAAGATGGAGGTCGCTGAGCAGGATGTAGAATATAGAGGTCACTATGTGGGGTGAGGGTGAAAGAGGAGGTCACTGAACGGGTTGACGAGGTTCAAAGTGGAGGTCAGGGTGGTGTTGAGGAAGGATCTGAGTTGGGAAAGAGGATAATACTTGGGTCTGGGTGAAGGGATGGGCTGGAGAAGTATTTTTGTAGCTTTCATTTCAAGATATTTCTCACAAAATCCACAATAACACTATGCTGATAATAGCTGATCTCTGCATGTGACCACTCTATAACTTCCATTTTGTTCATAGGTGCTTCTGACTACGACATCGGGAAGCAGGTGTACAAGCATCAGCCGGATGTGTTTGCCCAGAAGGTGGCAGTCATTAGAGCAGCTACAGGAGACGAGAACTGGACACCCAGCATGACAGAGGGCCATGGTGAGTACCCTAGGGCTTCAGTAACCCAGCTGGGTCACAGTGACCTGTAAATCATCATGACCTGACCACCAGTGACAGAAAGCAAAGATGACAACCATCAAGGTCACAATTACACTCTCCCAGGAGACTGACCAACCAACAAATCTCAGTTTGTGTAAATATAAGTTTGTTTTTACTCATTTTGGAAAATTTGGTTGCTTGGTTGTAAAGGAAAGTTATTTTCCCATTGTACAGGAAGTCAGATTTACTGAGCATTTTCTTGTTATGTTAGCTGTTGTTAATTAGTTTTTTGTGCTATAAACTTGTATAGTGGAACGGCTTGGTGAAATTTATGTTCACATCTGTAGAAGGCATGTACTTAAAAAATATCAAAGGATTTATTGATTTCCTGAATCCCACAGGCCCCCAGAAGCCAATCCTGCAGGAAATAAAGGCAGAGGCAGTGAAAGCAGCCATTCCTAAAACCAGCCAGGAACTAGCACAGATAATGGCGCCAAGTACCAGGTACATATACCATGCCTCAGACTGAGGATTCAATTAGTTTTCATTTATGGATGCAAAGAGTTCACAAAGTAATACGTGACCTATGCTGTAACCTTGCATCATGTTTGTTTGTGTAGCATATTATATACTGTATAAAAAGGTTTGGGATTGTGAACATTGTGTGCTCAGTGTTCACAACAAAATAGCTATGGTCCCTGTCTTTTTAAAGTCAGTATATAAAGGGTTCTGGTAGTTCATCATTTCTGGCTAATTTACATTACATGTATATCATTATCAAGAGTTGAGTCAATACAGACTGACACGTGTAGCATTTGGTTTGGTTTGCTTTTGTACGCTGCGCTCATCAATATTCCAGCTATATGGCAGCTGTCTGTAAATAATAAAGGTTTGGACCAGACAATCCAGTGATCATAAATCTACGTAATTGGGATATGATAACATGTGTCAACCAAGTCAGCGAGCCTGACCAATCGATCTCGTTAGTCAGCTCTTACAACATGCATGGGTTACTGAAGACCAATTCTAACCCGGATCTTCACGGGTCAACATGTGTATGAAGTGAAACACTGTGAGACTGTTAGTAGATGTTAGACAAGTGATTCTTTCATATGACTGACTGACTGACTGAGTTTGGTTTTACGCCGCTTTTAGCAATATTCCAGCAACATCACGGTGGGGGACACCAGAAATGGGCTTCACACATTGAACCCATGTGGGGATTCGAACCCGGGTCTTCGGCGTGACGAGCCAACGCTTTAACCACTAGGCTACCCCACCGCCCCTTTTCATATGACTGAAGGTAATCTGTCATGAGTGGTGGGTATTGCAACACTCAGCCTCTGTTTGGTGACAGATAATTGGCAGCTATGTATGAGTATTAGGTGTATTTTTCTATATGTTACTCATTGTCATTTTAGGTAAGCCAGTTCAAAATGAACTATGAATTCTACAGAGAAACTTTACCATAGACAATCTGTAGTTTAAAGGGTATATTATTGGACAAAGTGTTGTTCCTAAAATGGTGTTGTTTTACCTCAGCCTACAACAGCAGCGGGTCGGGAACTCCCCAACACCCGGTGAGAGACTGGAGTCACAGTTGTCTCAACAACTCTCCAAGGTAAGTCAGTTCACTGAGTCGGGTTTTACGCCGCTTTTAGCAATATTCCAGCAATATCACAGCAATATTCCAGCAATATCACAGCAGGGGACACCAGAAATGAGCTCCACACATTGTACTTATGTGGGGAATCAAACCCGGGTCTTCAGCGTGACGAGCGAAAGCTTTAACCACTAGGCTACCCCACCGCCCCATCAGCTGAGTCACGTCCAAGTCAGCACAGCTTCCTCACTCTCCGCTTCATGAGCAGATAATTAGTGGAAATTTTGTGATTTTATTTCCTTTGTGAAGTCTCTTTACTGTATTGTTTATTAAAAATTGACATATTTTTTGGAAGTATAAATATGAAAAATGTTACGTAAATCTCTGTGGCTGACTTTTGTTTATTTACAGTCACTTCGTAAGCACAAAAGGTATTGAAGTTTTATGAAAAGAAAATGCAGCCGATATATTCACAGACTGCCTTTAATGATTAACAAAACATACTGATGACATCATACATAATAAATAAGTGACATTGTTCAGTGCTATAATACAAAACATGCCCTGCCAATTCCATAAACTGCCCATCAGTTAAGAGTAGTCTGTCAGTGGGTATGGCCAGTTTTTGTCGCGGGTTGAAATGGGATGTATGTGAATGATAACACAGAAAGTTTCTTGGTGAGCCAATCAAATGCTACAAAATCAAATGCATTGTGTATTCCATGTTATCCATGTCTGTGTCCTGAAGATCCTGGATGAAGGAATCCCCTGAATTTATTTCCAGCTTATTATCCCAGGATTCTATGTTGTTTAGATTCTAGATGAAGGAGACATAGAAGACCCAGGAACCTTGTGTGATCAGTTCAACCAGGTGGTGCTGCCAGGTAAGTTGTTCGGGTAAAGGAAAACACAGTTGTTGATGGAATTGTTCAATGACCCTGTGTGATTTCTGGAACATACGATGGGAAAGGAAACCAATAGATGATTTATGTAATTTTTCCTTATCCTGACTCATGCTAAATGCTTGTCTCCTTTTCCTTGCTGAATAATAGTGGAACACTTGAAATCCCTTGAAGTTCCCTTCTAAAATGTGGACGATAAAATCACTACTCACCCACGAAAGTTACCTCCCTTGCCCCTTTGGCCCTTTTGGGTCACCTGACCGGCCATGTTTTGTCACTCTCTCCTTCTTCGCCCTTGAGGACGGGTGTGAGAGCACCTGGGTCCCTATACGGCACATATCCTTTTCAATTTTGGACCTTACATTAGGATTGTATTCTACTATATGGTTTGAACTTTGATCTAAATTATACGTTGTTTGACACGTTTTTTCATTGTGTTTACATTTGATGAAAACTTGTGTTCGTTGTAGATACCGGCTGTCTGCGGCTGACCCACATTTATTATGTCCTGATTGCACTACTTCATGTTCTTTCAACTCTTGCTGTAAACATTGTCTGGATTTAACCACTTTTGAATTTAATAACTACCTTATTTTTCCTTATCCTGACTCATGCTTATTGCTTGTCTTCTTCTTCTTGCGAACATAGTGGAACACGTGTATCTCCCAATTGAAGTTCCCTTCAATAAAAAATCACTAATTAGTACTCACCACGAGTTACCTCCCTTCCACAAGCGCGGGAACGAGGGCGCCACCTCCACCCATGTGCCTCACTCTCTCCTTCTTCGCCCAGTGAGCTGGACGTGAGAGCGCCTGTGTCTCCCAACACACTATATCCTTTATTTATATTTAGTTTAGTACCTCTTATATTCAGTTATAGAGGTGTAACTAGTATCCTTATTCAATTTGCATTGATTATTAGTCATGTTTCTGCTGTTTTATTCACGGTTCGCTGTGTTTGTTCAGCAGTTTACGTTAATGAGAATCTGCACAGGTTGTAAACTACGTTATTCCGCTACCGATCCACATTTAAAATGCCCTAGTTGCATTACTCCATGTTCTATTGTTTCTCGTTGTAAATTATGTATTAATTTACCAATTTCTGCCTTTGATAAATATTTATGTTCCGTTTTGAGACGGAAGGCAGATAAATCTCGCAAACAATCTTCAGTCATGGCTAATAGATCGGAAGCTAATATACCCTGTCAACTGTTGACTGACGACCCGCCACCGGCTGGTGGCCTGCCTGAGTTTCCCTCGGGGGATAAGCGTGGGACGCAGTCCGCTATGTCCAAGAAGCGACCTGCACCTCTAGACATTCCGTCTTCACAGTCTAAGACTAGGAAAGCGTCCACATCATCTCAACGTATGCTTAGAACCCCCAGGTCCACAGCTTCGTCAAAAGGGAAATCTACGAAAGCTACAAATAATTTTGCTTCCGATATTCTACCTGTCTCAGAATTATGTTTATATGATGGTGACATTCCGATTATCATTCCAGATGTACGTCATAAGAAACGTCCAGTATCTGCTACCGTCACAACAGCGCAGATCAACACGCAACCAGAGATGCCTACGCTGACGCCGGAGTTTGTGATTGAGGGTCCGGTCACTTTCACAGAGAGGCCACCCTCAACGCCAGCGCAGACCGTCCCAGACGACCTGGTCAACCAAATCATGAGGCTGATGGAGGACCGTTACGGTTTACAGAGGCCCCAGAGCCACGGGCCCCAGAGCCCAACCCATATTAAGTCATACAGGGCCCCAGAGCCTTTGGCTTCGCCGTAGGGCCCCAGAGCCCACAAAAGCGCCTCTCATGAACGGCAACCCAGCCCGTGGCGATCACCGCTAAGAAAGTCCCAGGCAGCCTCCGCGAAGGAGCTAGAGCCTCTCCAGTTGCGAGGGACATCGCGGAGAAGGTGCGCTTCGCCGAGCCCACACCCTGTAGAACACAGAGGTCGTTCGCGAAGCAAGCGCTCATATGTCGATTTGGACACTGACTCGATACATTCGCGAAGGTCGCGAAGGCTAAGTGGCTCCAAATCTACCTCGCCCAGAAGATCTAGTAGAGCTTCGTGAAGCCCCCAGCGTTCGCCGAGGATGTCTCCTCCTAAGTCTCCTTACACTAGCCACTCGTCAGTCCGTTCACCACAGTCCTCTCATAGATCTTCCTACAGATCTAGGACTCCGACATGTGACCCTACGTCAGAAGAGGAGGAAGATATCATTTTCTCAGATGCTGAGATTAGATACTGGATGGTGAATGAGTTACAACTTGCTTCCCCATCGAAGAACGAGAATTCAACTCAGACTTACCTGATGAAAGATGATGATGTAGACAATATCACCTTGCCTCCTATTGACCCGATTACAGCGGTACCAGCTAATCTGGATACAACCTGTTCCAAATCTTCAAAAGTCCAATCTACACATTTCCCGGTCTTCAATGCCAAGAAATTTGCTGGACACAATATGGACCCCTTTTTCAAGGCCCATGATATTGATGACAACTTTAAACTAATCAGTGATGCCAAGTCCAGAAGTTACAGAGTAGACGATCGCAAATTGGCCCAATTAGATACCATCTCCAGGAGAATGTTCTTTGGATTGAATAGATCTAGAACTATTAATGAAACTCTCATCACCAAGTTCAAGAATTCTACAGAGGAGGAAGATAGAATGATCTACTCAGCTCTACTCATGCAGAAAAGAGACCACCAATTTCTTACAGAGCACCTGTCAGCGCTTACTGAAACTACTACCATGACTCGTCGGCAAGGCTTACTAGCTTCCTGCTCTTGGGATAAGCAATTCACAGAATCTCTATACACAGCTCCATGGTCATCGCCCTTACTGTTTGGTGGTAACATAGACAAGGTCTCCAAAGAAGTATCTAAAGACTCGAGAGAGGTACTTATGATCAGATCCATGGATACCTTAGCGAACGTCATTAAACAGTCAGCACAGAGATACTCAGGCAAGTCTAAGTTCTCGGGGCTACAGAAAGCACGGGACAAGAAATTAGCTGCAGCTAAAGATTCCAAGGATTCTTTTCGTCGCCCATACAGCAAATTTAGGGGAGGATCAGCTAGAGGCAGATCATCCAGAGGTGGCCGTGGATTTAGACGATGAAATTCAGGTTCGGAACGACTGGAGTCTTCCACCCCCAGCCGTTCCAGTACAACCTTCTCAAGTGGTGTAAGCGCCTTCAGCTGCACTGGGAAAACTGGGGAATACTACAAGATCCATATGTATCCAACATCCTACAGCACGGATATCTAATACAACTCAAGGCCAAGCCTCCGTTAACAGTCACCCCCACAGGGTTCAACGTTCAACCGGCACAACTACCTATGTTAAGAGAAACAGTAGCTACTCTACTAAACAAACAGGCCTTAGAAGTTCTGGATCAACGAAACATTGTACCAGGTTTCTACTCCCCAGTTTTCCTAGTGCTGAAGAAAAATTCAAGGAGAAGTTTAGTCTCATATACAACATGAGCATCTTCAACAGAGAATATCTACCATGCAAACCACCAGCGTTTAGCATGATACACTTACCGCAAACTCGCATTTAATCCGTCCCAAAGATTACATGGCCAGCATAGATTTGCATCTACACATTCGATTCATCCCAACTCAAGGAAATATCTAAGATTTATCCTAGGCGGAAACATTACCAATGGAAGGTTCTTCCTTCTTGAATCACATCGGCCCCTTGGGTATTCACAAGAGTGACCAAGCCTATTGTCTCATACCTACATCGTCCAAGGTCTTCGCGTAGCTTTTTACCTGGGAGGCGGACGGTATACAAGTGGATCCAGATCCACAGCGTCTCCAGACTACAGCTGAACTTTATAATCAAGCTACTAACTCAATTAGTAAATCTACTCAAGTCGGACCTAGAACCAGCGCGGGATCTGCAATTTCTAGGTATACGATTTCTAACAGCTCAGAATCGTATTGTAGTCTTGGAGGACAGATGGATCAAGATCAACAACTTATTCCTCAAGCCCTACTCTCTCTGTTACCACTACGACAGTGGCAGAGCCTATTGGAACTACTCACATCAGCTCAAGACTTGACAGTCAGAGGCAGGCTTCAATTACACCCGTTACAAGTCCTCATCAATGCTCATCTCGAGGACCCTCTACCATTCAGTCTACCAGATTATGTCAAACCACATCTACTCTGGTGGACCAAGAGATTGAATGTTTGCGCAGGCGTCTCCTTAGTAGAGCCGGAATCGAAAACACATCTCTACGTAGACGCGTCACTACAAGGTTGGGGAGCCCACCTTGCCGGCAGGACAGCGTCAGGCCTATTGAGCAATCAAGATGGCACAGTTTTGTCAATTACGCTGCTAAGAAAGGATTTACAGCCAGATATGCTACACATCCTCAAGTGGCAGATTTCTTATGTTATCTACGTCAAACTAAGAATCTAAAAGGCTCAACCATGTCCACTTATCTTGCAGCTATAAGTTCTGTCATAACAATGAGAACGGGCGTCAAGTTAACAAAAACACCAGAGTTACTCGCTTTGTTACGAGCGTTCCGATTGGAGGATCAGAAACGGAAGTTTCACGCTCCAGCCTGGGATCTAAATATAGTGCTCCAACACCTCACTAGTGAGGCTTATGAACCATTGCTATCTACATCGTTTGAATCACTGACCCACAAAACCTTATTCCTGTTAGCACTAGCTACGGCCGCCAGGATGTCAGAGATTCACGCACTGGATTACTGAGAGAATACAGCTTTGATGATATGCATAACATGGCTCATCTGGGACTTCTCGCTGGGATTTTATAGCGAAAAACCAACTGCCAGGTCAACCAGACAGATTATTCCCCGTCCCAGCTCTCTCATCCATGCTTGGACCGCATGATACGATGGATCTATCACTATGCCCAGTAAGGGCACTGAAAATATATCTCCAACGATCCAAACAGAGCAGAGGGAAATTCAAGAGGTTATTTATC